AACGAAAACCACATCAAAGCAAAATCGCCACTAATAAGACCGCCTCTTTCTACCCGTTGACTTTCTGCGCTCGACCAATGATTGAGACGACGTTGGCAACCTGAACGCCTTTCTGAATTTCTTCATTCTTAGATCCAAGCCGCAAGCGCTACCAGCAACATCAGAAACCGAGTCCATCATCAGGAGGCGGGCACTTAACGATGTGGCGGGAGGCCTGCTTGTCTACCGAGAGCGCGCTCGCGTTTCGCTTTCGCACCATTTGGTGCCCCCCCCCCCCCTTTTCCGTTACATGCAACAGACCTCCCACTGCTCCGCATAATACTATACAGCACCTATATGATTCGGCCAAAAACTCTTCTCCTGAGATGCGTTCGAAAGCTCTAACAATGAAAAAAGGTTGTAGGTATAAAAGGTTATTTTGCACCACCAAGCCAAGAAACCCGTCATACATGGGGGCGGGTTGGGCACACAACATACATACAAGCAGTTTCTCGCACAAGCCGCCCTCGACCTCACCCTCTCCCTAATTATATATCCCAACCCCATACTTTTTTGTTGCCTTTCTTTCCAGCTCGATTAAATTTTTTTGGTGTTATCTGCGCTTCGTCTTTAGGCGAAAAGAAGAGGAAAACCATCATCACAAATGAAATGAAGGCAAATGGTAACAAAAGTCGTGAAAAAGTTGAGAGGCAGTCATACTGCCCGAATTTCGAGCCAGGTTTGCTTCAGAGTAAACAAATTCTTCGAGCATTATGCAGGATATGAAGTAAAACTGAGCTTTAGAGATTGTTCTTTGCTTTCGGATTTGGATAAACACTGCCTCACAAGAAAATCAAAGAGTTCCACCAAGTTGTGCTCGAAAACCAAACCTTATTTTAAAACTTAGTTCTCCAACAGGTGCCTTGTCTGTTCGGCGTCTGTGGCAGAACTGCAAGTTCATTCACGAGTGGGAAATGTAAAGCGCATTGTTTATGACAACAAAACATCTCAAAAACCGGGACAGTTTTGTCAAGAAGTGAAGCCGAGCGACTGGAGTGAGGTCGGTTCCTTACCTGTCATTTCTCACAACTTACCTGCCTTTCTTCCAAAGTTCTTTATCTCCAGGATACGCTTCTCCATGAGAAGAAGTTATCTAGAGTAAGAAAATGTTTCGAGAAAGGAAGACAAGGCGTAGGAAATGACAGGATAAAAAACCGACCTCACTCCAGTCAGCTCGGCTTCACTTCTTGACAAAACTGTCTCGGTTTTTGAGATGTTTTGTTGTCATAAACAATGCGCTTTACATTTCTCACTCGTGAATGAACTTGCAGTTCTGCCACAGACGCCGAACAGACACCTGTTGGAGAATTAAGTTTCAAATAAGGTTTGATTTTCGAGCACAACTTGATGGAACTGTTTGATTTTCTCATGAGGCGGCGTTTATCTGAATCCGAAAGCAAAGAACGATCTCCAAGGCTCAATTTTACTCCATATCCTGCACAATGCTCGAAGAAATTGTTTACTCTGAAGCAAACCTGGCCCGAAATTCGGGCAGTGCGACTGCCTCTCAACTCTTTCACGATTTTTGTTACCATTTGCCTTTATTTGATTATGATGACGGTTTCCCTCTTGTTTTCACCTAAAGACGAAGTGTGGATAACAACAAAAAAATTTAATCGAGCAGGAAAGAAAGGCAACAAGAAAGTATGGGGTGGCTTTATAATTATGCGGAATAGGTCAGAGCGGCTTTTTCGAAAAATTGCAGAAAACTTCCTTCAAATTTCAAAGCTGGAACTTTGTGCTGGTGTGCAAAATAGCATTTATACCTACAACCTTTTCCATATAGAAGCTTCTTCGAACGCATCTTAGGAGAAGAGTTTTTGCAGAATCCATAGGTGGCTGTATAATTATGCGGAGCAGTGTATTTCTTCAACAATATCCAATTTATCGTACAATTCGCCCCTAACATATTCATCAATCGATTGGTACAGCTCTTCTAATTTGTTGCAAGTTTTACACACCAGCAATGATAATCAATGCGAATAGTGGCCGTTTCCTGCCAAAGTCCAACATCGGTCACCCTGCTGTCATTAACTTAATACCCTGCCAGTATGGTTGCCACCCTCCACTTGAGCATGAGGCAACCATAATGAGAGGTAATTGGGTTATTGACAGCAGGGTGACCTATGTTGGAAGGTTATACTCAAATCTTGATAAAAGCTGTGCGAAAAGGATGACACATTCAAGAAATGCTCTGATTATGGTGATCCCAGTACCCCTGCTATCAAGTGTGCCCCAACTGGTGCATTCTTTGCACAACATCTCACATAAGTATTAGAGGGAATGGAAGCCTAGTCGCTTGTTCATTTGCGATCACTTGAAATCATGACGATAGCGTTCTGTACAGCATCGAAAATCTAGAGGATTTAAAGGAGCTCTATACACTTGAAGCACTGTGGCTCCATACGTGACTGGTACGGCGCTCATCCGGTAAGGGGGGGGGCATTGTGATGCAACGTCAAGTGGCTGCCCTCACCCCCACCCCCTGACTGCCTTCACTCCCCCTGGCTCACGGGGTCCCGTACTTCGAGAAACCTGTGCGCCAGGGGGAGTGTAGGCAGTCTAGGGGGGTGGGGGGTGAGGGCAGCCACTTGATGCCCCCCTTACTGGATGAGGACCCGATGCTGAACTGCCATGGAATAATAAAAGCAAAAGATCCTACTCACAGCAGATGTAGAGCTGTCCTGACTTGCATCGTCACCCGAGCATACAAGACATAGTGAGCCACAGTTCGACGCCATTGAAAACCACATGCTCATATGCCTGCAGTAATCAGCAAACACGTCATTTCTAGGGGAAACTATGAAGTGGGTGAACCACTTAACTAGAACTGAACGGTGCTAATCTACTGAATAGGCCAACGTGATGAAAAAATAATAACTGCCCCTGGATCACAAGACAGATAATAAAGTCCGCGGATTCCCTGTTACCGTAATCCGCATTAGCATTGTTGCGCGCTGCAGCAAGCATGTGGCCGTCCTCCTTATAAACAACAGTCAGCAACGTTGCGGAACAAACCCCCAATAAAAGTTGTAGATGAAAACCAAGACGAAATGTATGAAAAACTGGTACCCGTATCGGTACTCTCCCTCTGCCGCTCAGCAATGGATAAAGACGCACGTTGGACGAGTTGTCTGAACGTGCCCGCTGTAAACGCGCTCCATTTTTCAATCAATTTTCCCTGTGGTCCCAAAACGAGCACGATTGCCGACGCGTCCAATGACGGCCGGCAAGGGGGCGGGATTGGGGAAATCCCCAAGAACACCCATGTTTGAGGGACTTTCCACCCTGTTTTTGAGTTTCTGAGGTAAGTTCGTTTATTATTTCCACTGCATATGTTCTTCACTAGGGCTCGTGTATCCCTCAGTAGTAGTGGCATTGAAATTTTCGGACCCTCCCTGAACTGTTGCTTTAAGCGACGCAAGGATCATTTAGACCTGTCCAAAAGAATTTAGTAATTCACAAACGCGGTTGAAAGGGGTAGATCAAGGTAACACAGAAAAGTAGCATCTGGTGCGACAGTCCCTAAAGAAAGCAAGGAAGGCGCTTCTCCCCTTAGCTGCGGTAACTTGCACGCAAACCGTCAAGAAAACTCGGAAGAGTACCCCAACTGTATTTCGTAACACTTATTCATAACTTGGTTAACTGCGGTTTAGATCAACATCATTCTTGTTCATGCATTCAACGTTGAAGCGCTGCGGAAGTTACTTATTAGCATATTTATCCATTACACAAGTTCGATCCGCCCAGTAAATGAAAAACGAAGCAAATTTCGGTACTATTCCACTGTCACTGCCCCTTGATCTCAAAGTTTTATTTTTTCGTCGAAACTTTGCCTATAGAGGTAATTGGCGCTAGATAGCGCCAAATAGTCACGACGGCTGTTTTCACCAAATCCGGTGTAAACTTACTACATAGGTTAGTTGGTGTCCTGATTACGAAGTATGACATTTTTTACGTTGGTGCCATTTGGTGCCTATTTTCTGCCCACCTTGCGCCCTCTCGCTGGCTTGATCGCTTGATCCGTGGTGAAAGGAAAGCACTCTTGTGTGAAAATACAAAGAAGTGATATAAATAAAAATGAGCGACTGCGTCCGAGGGCAGCGATCAACCGGAAGACGTGGTGTCAGGTTTTTACTGGAGTTCTGCGAGCACTGTCGCAGCATATTCTTCAGACATTATTTAACCAGCCCCAACATTATGCAATTCTTTTCCTCCTTAATTCGCCTAGTCCCCACGTGATTGTCAATCATCGCTCGTAACGGAGTCGCTTGATCTGCCTCCGTCCTCATGCGACTCGCCAATCTACTAGAAACGGCGCACAAGTCAATGCTATCAGGCGGGATACGGTACATGAATCCGACTGCGTTATCTGTTCCCGTCCCTGAACTACCCAGAGAGCCACTAACAGCGGGCGCCGCGCCGCCGCGTGCCCCCCCCCCCAATTAAGATAGCACCCTTGGAACTTAGGCTTGGGAAGGGAGGAAAGGACGTGAGCAACTTTTTCTCCCTGGCCTTCCTCCCCTCTCCTGGGCTTATTCCTAATACAGCGCTGAACGCAGCCATTTTTAATCTCTGCTGAATTGCATACCTCTAGGCAGACTTCATTAATGAGTTACATTGTCGAAGTACCTGTCGTCTGAAAGAACGATAGGCTTGTTATCATCGTCATCCATCGGAGCATCCTGAAACGAAAAATCGTTCCATAATCCATACCCATCCATACCAGCGTCTGTATGTCGTGATCGACAATTAATCTTCAATAGCAGATATACTAGCAGAAAAGTAAAGGGTAAATAACATGTCTTCACGTAAGATGAGACCCACGCACTCACTGGAGTACGGATGAACCAAGTTTCAACGCTCAACCTTTCTCGGACGTCTAAAGAACTGTCCCAGGAAGAAGATGCAAGAAAGACAAGACACCATAAACCAATATAGCATGAGCTCGCGGCTGAAATATGAAGCATGATCATGCAGTAAGGACTCGCTTACCGTGTTCCTGTCCGCTCGACCCAATTCGCCCGCACCTGCCACCTCCACCTGCAAAAGCACGTCAGAACATTAAAAGTCAATACGTCAAATATAACTTCGTATCGAATGTATGCTATACGAAAGTTACTTAGAGGGGGGGGGGCACGCGGCGGCGCGGCAGTCTGCTCACCTGGGCTCTCTCGAGCGAGACAGTGTAAACTCGAACATTCCAGCTTTTCACGCATGTCAAGTGACTGCCCCCACCCCCACCCCCTAGACTGCCTACACTCCCCCTGGCCCACGGATTTCCGAACATGCCAGGCGAGCAGACTGCCGCGCCGCCGCGTCCCCCCAACTAAGTTAGCACCCAAAAAGTAATAAATAAACAAATAATAACAAATAATAAACAAACAACGAGAAAATTCGGGCCACTCACTTGCTGTGCTAATTGGTTGTTTTGCGCCCCATTATTGAGGTTCTCAGGGTGAGCATTCATCTTTCCAAAACACAATTCTGAAGAAGGAAACACTTGAGATTGAGATACAAAAATGAAGCAGTGACACTATTTCAGTCGAGTGAGGGGGCATTGTGGTGCGGAACACTCGAGGCGTTGTGAACAACGAAATTTGATTTTAGATTATCAACTTTCAGAACTCACACCACGGCACCAGTTCACTCAATCGCTGGTCTCCTGTTGGCGCACTTGTGGTCGGTAGGCGCCACAAACTATTGCACCAAGTGCCCCACTCCCCTTCGCTGAGATAGCGATGAACGACTCATTGCTGATGTTCATACGACGACAACTAACTACGACAGGAACCTAATGCTCGACTTGAAACGAAGCAATACTAAGGTTGCCACATCACTGAAGCCACCGTGGTAGACAGCGCTGTCTAGCGACATTTAATACTTTTCCTACTCTACATCTTCTTTACGAAGTCGGGTATGGATCACTAGAACTGAAAACGACATATTCGCGCTTCGCAGCGCGAAACATTTATCGCAGGTCCACTGATGATCAGTGGTGGACCTGAGGTTCCCGCAGCGAAAATGTTTCGCGCTGCGAAACGCGTAAGATTCGCTTTTTGTCCCAGGGAACCACACCCCGCGAGGTCAGACACCAGGCGAATGAGCACGCCACACCATCTACCTGAAAGAGAGTGCGGAATGAATTGGTGGTTGCGCTACTGATGGACTAGCGTTTCACACTGAGTTATGCCCAACCCGGGACCTGGAGACTGCCTCGATTTGTGAAGAATCATCGTAAAGATGTCAACAGTGGGGGTCCTTCCAACAATTCTTGTGTGGTTCACTAGGACAAAAAGCGACTTTTCCGCACTCCGTCGCGCGAAACACTTCTCACTGCGGGAACCTCAGGTCCATCAGTGGGTCCGATGTACCCACAACAAAATGTTTCGCGCTGCGAAACGCGAAAAAGTTGCCTTCTGTCCTAGTAAACCACTCCCTAACAATCCATCTGAGTGATCATATATTTTGTTTCATTCGCTCACACACCACCCCGTATTTTAATTCTATTCGATTCTGCATAGATAACTAAGGGCACTATTACACAGTGGGGGTGAAATGGGCAAGAAGTTTTTATTCGCTGAAACTTCCTCTTATGAGGGTTATCGAGGTCCTGATCACAAATATGAGATCCATTTTTGGCGCTGGCGCCAAATTGGCGCCATTCTGGCCTCAGAGCGCCCTGACTGATTCTCACCAAATTCGCTGTAAACTTGTATAGGGTTAGGTAGGTTAAGG